TGCGTATCAAATCTGCAAACAGGAAAGTCAAGGAGTGATTCCAATAATTGCCAAAGGAGCATATATAAATGTAAAATAGAATTGGTCCAAGACCAGAAAACCTTGTGAACTCCCATACAACTCTAGTATTATGAAATTCATCGTAACATAACAAATGGGAACGATCGATACCAAGGGACCTAAACCAGCTTAGGCGGTTCCTTTAATGCCAATTATGCCAAGTCTCTGTAAAAATATTATGGTCAATGGTGTCAATGCACACCTAAGACGTAATAATAAAGTACAAGACAATCCATTGTCAGAACAATCAAAAGTCATTACTAACTTTAAACCAGAGCTGTCTCTGTGCTTGTGATGAACCTAAATCCTGACTGAAAATCTCATATAAAATTATTCCATGTAAAAAGTCACACAACGTTTGCCGACTATGCTCTCCAGAATCTAAGAGAGGAAAGGGAGTAAAATCGTCTATAGTTGGCGAAAACCCCTGGCCGAGAGTGGGCCTTTTAAAAGGTTAATTACAGCTACTGTTTAAAGGACCTGATTGGTGACATAATCCTGATAATGAAGAAAGATGAATCATATCAGACTAATGGTTTTAACGACGTCAACACATTACTGGCCAATAATTAACTCCCCTCCATTGGCTCCTGTCTGTTTAATAGAATTGATTTAAGATTTTACTGATCATTTTTTAAAGCACCCTCAGGTCAGGCTCCGAGCTATATTACAGATATTTTAATTCCCAGAGCCAGCTGGCAGCCGTAATCCTCCAGCGGCTCTCCTAACAGTTCCAATTTTCCAAGTCAGACTAAGAAACAAAAAGGTGATGGGCCTTCGCCATAAGGGCTCCTCGACTTTGAACGGCCCTGCCTGAGAGATGAGGCTTGCAGGATCAGTACATTCTTTTAAATCACCTTCTTAAAACCCAGTTTTAAGACTTGCCTTGTATTGATGTGATCCTTTTATGTTTATTATACTCCAAACCGTTCTTTGAGTTCTGTTCACTTATTTATTATTTTATTATTGTATTCTCTTTATTTTCCTACTTTTTTATTCCATTTTCTCTATTCCTACTATAGTTTTGTACTACCCTTCCATTAACATAACTGTAATTGTATTAACATATCTGGCAAAGCACTAAAAAACTATGTTTTAAAGCTATACAATATTATTATTATTATTAAATAGATAACAGAGAAAAAAAACTTCTTTAAGCCAGCCTATTTTGGATTGGATCTAACAGACCAGGCTGATGCTTGAATGAAGAAATTATTGAAGTGAACTGAGGAAGACTGATAGCAGAAAAACCTTCTAAAATATATCTGAGTTGCATTAGGGAAGTTAAAGTTCCTGATCTTGGAGATCTGAACTACAGACAGCCTACAGATGGTCCAACAGGAAGTAAACAATCTGTGACTTCCTGTTTATTCTCTCCAGCCTGCTGGGCTGAAAATGAGAGGAAGTGTAATGATGATCCAGAGCAGACAGCTTCAGGGTCCTTTCCACCTCTCTCTCCATCTGTCGCTCTGTTTTCTTCCTCCTCCCCCTCTTCCGCCTCCTCCTCCTCCTCCTCCTCCCCCTCTTCCATTCAGACTGTGATAATTGATAATTAGTCAGAAATGATGGAGTCAAAAGGAAGGCGGGTGTCTTCTTCAGTCCGTCTCCAGCGCAGTAAGTTCACCATATGAGACGTTACCCTGCCGACCCAAAGTCAATAGAATGAAACTATATAATATCTAACAGTTTATTCAGCTCGATCTGAGCTCTCCTTCATGTTCCAGTGAAACAAACTGTGTTTCTTACTTAAATCACCTCGGTACCTGCGTCCTCAGACTGTCCTCAGACTGTCCTCAGACTGTCCTCTGACTGTCCTCTGACTGTCTCTGAGGTTGTGGTCACTGGGAGGCTGCTGAGCCCCGCTGGGTTGCTAACACTAACCGCAGCTACGTTAACACTTTTGCAATTGAATTTGTTTGTGATTTTTATGAAATGATTAATGATTTATTTCATTAATCCTCTAATCTGACTGCAGGTCTCAGATTAACAGCCAAAGTGTTCAGATTCATATTTACAGGAGAGTACAGTACTGTCAGCTTCATGCAGTAAGTACTGCTCTTCCTCCTCCTCCTCCTCCTCCTCCTCAACCACCTCTTCCACTCTCTCTGTTCCTGGAGGTCTTCAATAATCCCACAGCTCCTAATCTGCAGCAGGTCTGACAGTAAATCCTCGGACAGAGTGCCTCATTTTACTGAAGAAGAAGATGAACAGTGAGGATGGGGGAGTGTGTGTGTGTGGGGGGATATTTGTTGATTACTGGAGATAAAGGAAAAGCATATGGCTCAGTGTTTGCATGCTGCACTACAAACAAATCACACAATATTCAGTAAGAAGATTTATCTGAACAATTGCACTTTTCTATTCTTCCTCCCTCCCAGCATGCACCAGCTGTGACCTCTCAGGGTGACACGAAATAATAACAATAATAACAATAACAATAATAACAATAACAATAATAACAATAATAATAATAATGATCCACTGTGTTTTAATCATCCTCACACTGACTGATCGTCTGGACGATTTCTCTTCATGTAGTTCGATATGTTAGCTATCATTCAGGGGAGCGTACCTATGTTCCCCGCTTTGTATGGGACCGGGGAACCCTAACCCTTGCATAACAGTGAAAGTAACTGAGGTTCCTAATAATGTTGCCTTAAAGGAGCACTATACAAAGTAATGAATTGGTCAAGTACGAACCTTTTGGAACTCAATGGACTATCTAGTATTTATTGAAGATTATCGTTAACATGTACAGACTGTGAACGATCTGATAAAATGGACTAAACCAGC